CAAAAACCAGGTGTGCTTTTCAAAATCAGTGAAAATGCACAATCTGAGACCAGATTAATTCATTATATAAAACATAACCTCTAATCTATAACCTGGTTGGATCGAGGGAAGAAGTGTGGGGCCACCACCCGCAAACATCCCTTTCTTCTTCCCAAATAATCGCCCATTCTTGCCCATTCAAGATGTTCTTTCCCATTTTTGAAGGGTATACCCTGACCAAGGACATTAAGTGGTTTGTTTTCTTATGCCCTCACTGTCACTAGACCAAGCCATCTCATTGCAAACCCTCAGATTTTTTTTTACAGCTACTTCCTGTTCTGACTTACCCTTGGTCCCGTCTCTCTATGTATTTCATCACAGGTTTGTCCTCTTTGACTGCCATTCTTACCATTGCTAAAAGATTTTCTAAAATGGTTCAGCTCATTCCCCTGAAGAACCTCCTTTCCACCAAAGGGAAGGGTAAATTCTTGGCCGAGGAGATTTTTCCTCTCCATGGGATTCCATTAGACCTTGTGTCAGACCTTAGACCCCAGTTTATTTCCCAAATGCTGGAGAGAGTTCTACTCATTGTTAGGCATTTCTGTCAGTATGTCCTCCGGTTTCCACCTCCAGTCTGATGGCCAAACTTGAAAAGGGTAAACTAAACGATTGAGACCAATATTTGCATCCTGTGTTCATCTGATCCTTCTAAGTGGTCTAACAACCTCCCCTTGGTAGAGCAAGCAATCAATTCCCCACCTTCTAGCACCACTAGCCTCTTGCCCTTTTAAATTGTCAATGGGTTTCAGCCACTGGTGTTCGTGTTCCAGGAGAGGGAGGCCATCTGCTGAGTTTGGAGGAAGGCTAGAAGAGCCATGATCAAGATGTCTGGAGTGCAGGGTAAAAATGGTAATCATCATCAAATTCCTGCTCCTGATCACGAGGTCTGCCAGAATGTCTGGATGGAGAACCACAATTTGGCACTTCCTTTCCCATCTCAAAGATTGTGAACCCGGTGGCCATATAACTCTAACTACTATACACCACCAGGATTCTCCTGACCTTCCATGTTTCCTGAGTCAAGCCATACATTATAAATAATGTCTGACCAGATTTTTGTCATCTGGCTGCTGAATCTCATTTCCCCCTCTTTTACCTCCCCCTAATTCCAATATCTCAGCTCTGACCCCGTTTCTGTCACCAGGTTCTATTTTCACCAAGGATTTTAAAAGAAAGAATCTGCCTCTAAGTGAGTTTCTTATATCCCTGTACCCCTATATGTTCTTATTAGCAGCACACTGTCCCTCAAAGTAATTTGTAAGTAGGACATTGAGAAATAATTCATACATCAACTTTAGTAGAATTGTAAAATGAATTACTCTAATGGTGCTTTTACATGTCTGCCAATAAAGTTGATCAGACAGCTGTAGTTGATCCATAGTTGTACTGTGCAATTCTTCTGTTAGTCTATAAGTCTATTCCCTAATCCAAAACAGTTAGGTTATCCTGAGCTATTTTCTATATTTATGCTGCTATATTATAGGCTGCTGGAGGACATAGGAAACACTTTCCACCATTCTGCTTCATTCCATCTCTATTCTCCTAATCTGCAGTATCTGTTTGTTCAGCGCATAACTTTCTGTTCTCTCTGCTTATAGTAGCATCATCTGGTCTGTTCCTGTTTGACTGTGACTCCACCCTGGATTGAAATATCAGCTGGGCTTGTGCCAACAACACCTTTGTTAATAGATGTTGGAGTTTGATGTATTATTTTAGTGTAGTCTTGTTTCTTATACTGTCACTAACTGTATGTGCTCTCTATTATCCTTTGATGTCAGACCTTGCTTAGAGCTTGTCTTCCTCGCTGTGTCTTTCCTGGACTGGGCCATGAGTGGATCTATTTAACAATTACCTTGTGCATATTTGCTTATTTTTGTATGGCTGTTTCTGTCTCCTTGAACCCGAGTCGTCATCGCTCACACTGATCCTGGTTCTACCTGGTTAAAGGAGTTTTTCCTCCTCAATGCATGCATGCTCTGTGTGAGGGATTGCTTAAAATTCAACAACAAATATGGATGCTAAAATCGCTGCCACAGACTCATCCAGGAGGAGCATATCTGGCAAGACAATGACGTGATGCCATCAAGTATATTGCATATTTCTAAAGAAAAGGATATTATTATAAACTGCTAGATTTCCCCACCCCCTGTTGCCTCTTGTCTGGTTTTCTGGGGTCTCCGTGCAAAGGGGTGAAAACACAGAATACCCCAGGTTTCATTACAACAGATTTCCTTTGGGAAAATAAAGGTTTACAGCCACAAGATTTATCAAGTTCAGCTGCTTACTCGAACCCGCCACCCCCAAGGCCTCTCCTATCTCCTTGTGCCCCCAAACCAGCCTTTACAATGCACGAGACTCCCCAGCCTCTTAATCTGTTCCTCCTCATCCAAGCTTTGTTTTTAATTCTCTTCCCAGCTCTGTTGGTAACAGCCAGACACAGACCTCACTGTTCTTGCAGACACTCTTCCTGTCTGCACATGTAACCTGTAATATGGGACACATGTGGTTTTCTATGTTTATGCTTACATAAATGCAATCCGGCTGTAATAAGGCATCATAATCAGGAGTAAATCACTGTTATAGAATAGTGTTTTTCATCCCAAGAGGTTCATCACACTGCACAGTAGCTTGATACTTCTTTGTACTTTGTTAAGGGAAGAATCATATTTAATTAAATTATTTTACTCCTAGTAAAGAAATTGCTTCATGCTGTGTTTTAAAGCAGGTCGACATCAGCTAAGTAGATTATAGAGACTATTAGTTATTATCTGAGAGTTTACTGTTTGACTGGATTTGGCAAGAATTAAATAGCAGTTGAATATTAATAATACGAAAGGAAAACTGTTTAGACAAACTGCCTTAAACAAGGCATTACAGGCATTTATCCAGAGGTGGATTCATTAAGCAATTCATTTCAAAATACCTTCTATTATTCTTTTGACTCTTTATTTCAGAAGTTATATAATTATGTTTAAATAAAACCCACACCTTTCTTTAGGAAGTTGTTAGTTTTAACAATTTGCGGCTGGTGTGTCTGTGTTGCATCCTTTTGTTGGAAGCCAGCAGTTTCACGTCTGAGGGTTCACTCCGTTGTTGGTCGGTTCCAGCCCCATGTCGTTCTACTGGGAATACACGGCCTTGAGCCTGAAATGTGTTTACGTTTTGAGCATGTTACAAATTATCTGCTAAGACTAACTTTGCGTGACTTGGCAGAAACCCTCACCTTGCTCAGATGTTGTTTGGGTCAATCGTATTTCATAGGCTTGCTCTCTCAATTTCACTGTCTCTATCTGACAGGGGTTTTCCAAGCCAGATGTGAACCCTGGCAAAACATGTTTTCTGTGTCACTGAGCTTTTTTGGGGGAATCCACACTTGTGTAACTAAATGCGTATGTTGGCAAAGTGCCTGTCAGTCTGCAATTTTCTTTCTAAACTGACATAACTCCACTTTTACTTTATATAATGAAAAATTTAACCAAGATGATGAGTTTTCCTCAGTATATTTATATTCATGCCCTTGAAGTGAAATGCATGTAATCCTCTTGTTCTGTGCTGTTTTCTCAGGATTGTCCAAGGACACAAACATCTTCCCAAATATTTATTTGCAACATGCAAGTAATCATCTGAAAAAAACAAAATAAGCATTTCAATGTGATACATCGGTATTGCTATAGGTTTTCTCAACAGGATAATTCAAATTGATGAGTTAGAGTACATTAGGTTACCAAAATAGTTTTTGCTATAAGATTTACATCACAGCAAATAACAGATCAGACCTCTTTTATAAGTATGGGTATATCACAGTGGATAGTACAAACATGCAAAAGGTTTGAATAAATACATTTTTCTAGATAATAAACAGAATAAATAATTATGAATTTTATCACAGTATATAAGCGACACCACCTCTGTCTTCAAGTTCCCCCAGAGCCTTCTAGGCCTAATTTCAGTTCTGTTTATGGCAGGATAAAGGCCAGGTTCATAAGGTTCACAGGCAATCAGGCAAAAGCAATGGAGAAGATGTTCCAAGCAACATATTATGTATAGCTATGTGTTTCTGTTTCAGTCCGATGTCTTGTTGACAAGTTAACTAAGCATGTTTTAAAAGCATGGCAACATGACTTAATTTAGAGGTTTATTATACCCTCTAGTGGAGAAAAAAACCTGAAAAGTGAAGCTTCTCTTCAGCGTAAATTATCCAAGTGGAATTTTTTTGTTTTTAAGTAAAGAAGCCTATATCTGCCTAATAGAAAGGAAAAGAATTAGAGCAAGTCATGAAAAATCCTGCAAGTGCTGCCAGAACTCTTCTACTAATCTTCGTGAAATTAGTTTCAGATACTGAAGTTGTGAGTAGATTTCCAAACTAATCTTCGTGAAATTAGTTTCAGATACTGAAGTTGTGAGTAGATTTCCAAACATAATTAAGTATAATAGGGATGTCTCCAAAGAAAGTAAATGTAATTCTTTTACAGATAAATATCTACAAGTGTAGACATCTGAGAAATGTAATTTTCTATATTTTTCTATTTATTTTCTACTGTATTTATGTCTCAATATCTGTTCAGCAGCAGCAAAGCATTTCAAAATAACATCTTGATATTAAAAGGGAAACAGCGAGCAGCTACAGTGTATTTGACCAGTCAATGCAGAAAAGACAAATGGGTCTCACACACACACATCATTCACATTAGCTTTACTTACTTCTGTTTATTCAAATTTCATGGATGTATATGGTAGTGGAAGATCTAGACAAGCCCAGCTTGCCTTTGCACTTCTTGATCAAACCAACTTTCCCCTTTGAGTTTGGTTTTTATTAAATATATCACATCCGGCAGCTTGGTGGTAAATAATACAGTCCAGACTGTACTGTATGCAAATCATTTCATAGTTTGGTAAGAAAATACTTCTGTTTATATATATATATATATATATATATAAAAACTTAAAAAAAACTTTTGTCATGCTTCTAGTCTCAGTATCTTGCATGATGAAGATTGTAGTAGTTTATGATACATCATCAGTTATTAATATTACTGTATATTAGAACAATGGAGAGTGATGCCGGTAATGAGAGAATGAAGACTACAGGTGTCTGATATGATATACATATTAATGAGTTCATTCAAACTGTTGGAGACAAAGTTTGTTCACTCCACTCTCCTCTCCTCGTCCAAGCATTTCATTGGGATGAAGTGAGACGCCTTGTGTGACTTCTTGGTCCTGTTCCCTTTCATTGGCCTTCCCCTCTGAGACAAAGCTATGAACATTTCTTTAGCAGTCCACTCTGCAGAGGAATAGGCATTGTAGTGGTTCTCTAGGAAACTCTCTGTAAAGTCGCAGTTCTTACTGTAGGCCCTCTGTAATGAAAAATATGTAAAACTTTTGTTGTAATGTCCTGTACATCTTCCTTTGTGACTTCATATTTAGTTATCGACTAAAACCAATAGATGAACACAGAAACAAAAGTATTACCTTGGCTTGCAGCTTTCCTTTCTTGTTCATACATATATAATACTGGCTCTTTATAGCTTTGATGGCCAGTTTGGGGCCCTCAGAAACCGTTCTGATCTCCAGGATACCTGCCAGGCAGAAAGGAAAATTAGATAAGAAACTGTCTACATCCATCTTTCAGTCCAGCCCCACACTGACCTGAACATTCATCTTCATTAGCAAACAATATAGATTCCTGCAATTAATCAGGCTGTGGTCTCTCTGGGTTAGTTCGAGTCTTGTTAACTTGCCTGGGTGGTCATTACACAAACCGCAACCTATGCCATTGCACATATGGGAGACAGATTAAGCCTCTCTCCCAGTGGAATTGAGACAACTGCCTCCTTACACGTGCTTTGCACGCTATAGTTTAGCTCTGCTCTTCAAATGTGTGGGAAGGTAAGATATTTATGCGTGCACAGACTTTATGCTTGGGAATTTAAGAATATTAGCTACAGATTTTTTTCCCCCATCATTATTAAGTACAATCAATCTAAAAACTTCCAAGATTGTGCTTAAAAAGTATCTATTTTAAATGAAATACATAAATGTTTAAAATAAATTAAAAATAAATGATATACCTACTACATGATTGAACTAAGGGTTTATCCACGAAATTAGACTTTAATTCTGTTATCCTGATAGGCTACTTGATATAAAAAACTACAAAACTTACATCTTTTATTTTAGTAACAACAAGGTCCAAATGACATATTTTTGATAAAGCTAAAGCATTACTGTCACTTTCATTAATCTGTGTGAAAAATTCTTTCATTTGACAAGCACAGAGAGGAAAAAAAGGAAAACCTTCTGAAGTTCTTGAGTGACATTAGGCATGCATGCATCCTAGCATTTTCAAGATCACAAACAGATGGTGGCGTCCCAATCTGGGAATGTTGTTTGTGCTCTGCTTGCTTTTTAAATATGTCTTCATAATTCTGACCTTTGACTTTTTTGCTTCCAATTATACTAACCCTGCCCTTGATTAAAGGTATAGCTTACCATGAATCCTTGTTAAGTTCAAAGTCAGTCAATCATTTGTTTAAAACAAAACGTAACTGCATGATTTGCTCTTAACATTTGGTAATTTAACCCTCTAGCTAGCTAATGTTCTATATCAGTTCCAGTCGTTAGGTGCATCAGGAAAAGTTGAAGCACATTTTCAAACACACATGCATACACATATTTAAAAAATGTTGGCTCTGCCTCTAAGGCAATCACCAGCTCAAAGAGATTTCCATCACTTGCTGCCTATGGCGGGGCAAACAATCTTGTGGGCATAACCCCAATTCTGCTTTCTCCCTGCAGATTGTTGAAGTTCAGGTTTACATTTACTTACTAAGATTACAGCATGTAGGCTTTAAAGAACAGGATGTAATAGAGTTCTTTCTTGTCACTGACACTAAAAGCAAATCTATATTCTAAGACAAACAGAAGCACAGCTTTGATATGTTAACATATGCTGTAGTGTTACATGGGGTTTTCCATTGCGATTCAGCTCTTTATAAACAACCCAGATTAAAGATTGTACACTTTCTAAACAAAAACTATTAGATAACCAAAAAAATAATGTCAGTGCTGTGGCCTTGCCTGTCCATTGGCCAGGTATTTTAGAATTACAGTCATTTATTGAATAACTGAAAACCAAGTTCTTCTTTCAGAGCATGAAAATCTTAAAAAATTCTTTCTTTTATGTTTCCTGTTGAGAACAGCTATCTATTCCTATTCTGTTGCATTTAAAGACTTAGTGACTGCTGTTAACCATTTTAAAATATAAAAAACATTTTTCATCTTATAACGCTAAATAGCAGTTTTCTTAAGATAAGTGATTTATACACTGTTATATATGTTCTGCTAAAAGACTAATAATATTTATTAGTCTTTTAATATTTGGGATGTAATATTTCATAAGTTTATATATATATATATAATCAATACAGATTAAAGAGAGAGTTTCAAAGATAAATAAATCAAATATATTATGCAGAGTGAAAGATAAGATACATATATTGCACAACCTCATCACATCGTTTTTGTTCTGTTTCAAGACAAGAAGCCAATAAGCTACTTAAATATCCAGTAAATCTTATAATAAATGACACTGTATAATGTGAATCTAGTATCAAAGGATTATTGGAAAAAAAAAAAAAGTGCCCTTTGCGTGCAAGTCTGAGCCACATGTGGGTGCTTCATATTTTCAGTCTTTCATTTTCAGCTCTTGCACAATATGTCTTTTTCATGAGGAAACATTTTTTAAAGCCAACATTCTTCCTTCAGCCACACTGTCAGATAGGATGAAACGATAACCAGGCTAAACATCCTAACCGGAGTCACATCCGTAAACATCAACGTCCAAAGAATTTAGTTACTCAGCACTAATTTAAGCAACTTACAGTGTTTAACTGTTACTTTTTAGTTATAATAGTGAAAAAGAAATATATGCTCATGATTGTTATTTTATTCAAGTATACATTTTAGTTTAAATGTATCTTTCTGCTTTATATCATGTGGCTTTAACATGTTAATGATCCCACCTGCTTCACTTTACTTCTGTCATTTGAGTTACTCCATGCAACTAAAGAACACTAATAAAAGATTTACACTAAATCTGAAGAACATTTGGTACATCTTTCTCTCACACTAACCAAAGTACCAAACTTTCAAAATAAAATTTGAGAGAAAATGACCTTAAACATTACCTTACTCTTTTTACTTGTTGGTTATAAAAGTGAAAAACAGAAGAGGTTGCAGTGAGTCGTAACAATCAAAATAAAACCACATCCTTACTGTAGCAGTTGGTAGGATCCTGAGTTCCTGTAATGTTGCCAGAATCATCAATCGTGAGGAACCACTGTGTGCGGCTGAACAGCTGTCGAATACGCACATCTCCTCCCTCCATGTAATCATAGTTCCTTGTGTGGCGCTCATGTTTAGAGCAGTTCATGATGGCGGCACGTTGCTCGGGGGTGCAGTCACTGTAGACCACACACACACTGCCAAACAGAAAGATTGCATGCAGGTAGAGTCCTGATAACAGATTTTGAAGGTTCCAGGTCAGCATCCATTTGCGCATTATAATGCAATGCTTTGGGGATCAATGAAAAACATGCTGAAAGCAAGCTCAAGAGCTGAGCGCTGTTCCTCAATCCAGCAACCTCCTGACCCCTGCTTTGTAATCTTTAGGCCCTAGTTCCACGGACTCCTGGCAGGATGTTTAACAGCACAGTCGGGGGGGAGAATTTTAACGGCTGGGTTTAAAGGTCAGTAGTGTCATGAAGAAAATAGCTTGCAGAAAGTGGATGTTGTTGTATTGTTGCACACATCCAGAGCTCATCAACTGCTTGATCCACTTGAGATGATAGTCCAACAAGCTATGTAATTATCCAGATAAGGGACCGTTGTGCTGGTCGTCGCTAGAAAAAGGATTAAGTTGGGAGATATTTTATCAAATAAATATGGAATAGTGCAAATAGAATAAAAAGTGCAAATAAAAATAAAATGCTTGAGTTCCAATTATTTGTACAAAATTTAAATGTATTATTGCAAATATTTTTCTAATATGTCTTTGTACTAAGTCATTGTTTTAGCGCGATGATTTAACATAGGGATTGCAGTCATGTATCCAACAAGATAAAGTATTCTAGATAGCTTTATAACTCTATAATCTCTCCTTCTTTAAGCAGATGTAGATTAAAAAGAAAAGGCTGATGACTTACCTGTGTTCTAAGTGCTGTTGGACAAAGGCACTTTCTCCAGGCTCTTTGGGTCTGAGACTCTAGTTTAAAAGGTAACCCCAGTTCATTGATGAAATAAGGCCAAGCAGGAGGTAGGATCTGCTGTCAGTCCTCATCTAGACTTCCCTGTTTCTGGCAAGCTGACTCTCTGCATCTTCCTTTTGTGCACCCTGCTTAGATAAATGCCTGTTGCTGACCTCACTTCAGAGCAATTAGATCCCAACCAGTCAGCTGTCCATGGCTGAGATGTAGTGAAGAAACACCCTCTCTCTGGCTCTCTCTGCCACTCACCCACCAGACATGAGAGGGAGCTATAAACTCTTGAAATTACCACACTTTGCTTGGTATGAGCACTAAAGTGCTTAGAAAACACTAACATGCACACTCATTCTTGGAGTATTTGCCACAACACCTCTTAAAAACATCCTAAAAAGTTTTATTCTGTGCATATCACAGATCCTACTCACTAATTTTCAAAGGATAGTTTGGATATGGACTATAATGACAAAGATTTAAAGAATTTATCGCCTTTTAGTTTAGATCTCATGATTAGTAGTGCTTTTACGTGGCACACTGAATCACCGGTGAGGGTTTACTCACTCAAGTGAAATCTTGAAAGAGGTCTTTAATGTCTCATTTTGATCAAGCATGGTAGTGGGAAGCAATAATATATGCCCGGTGGGTTTTTTTATTCAAGGAGAGAAAAACAGAACGCATCACTGCTTAGAAATAGTCCTCTTACTGCCAGAGGTCATGAAATCTTTTGCTTTATGTGTTTGTATTTAAAGTGAGAGAATATATACATTAAAACGTCCGGCAGCAGATTCTTTGATGTATAGTGTTTCTCTCTGGTTTGTTCAGCTCACGTTTTTATCACTACAGGGACCGTTTATAGTCTGGTCTTGTACATTAGCAAAGTAAACACTAGCTAAAAATCAAAACAACACATGACATCTTGCACTTGCATCACAATTCAAAGAGTTTTAAATAAAACCTAACATTTTTTAACAAAGTACATGTAAAAGCTTGTTTCCCCACATTAAAGTGATTTGTGAAACTCCTGCAGCCATGTCCAGGGGTCCGTAGCACCTGGTTAAGTCCCTTGAGGCAGATTATTGCAACAAGAAAGGCCAGACCCAGTGATTTCCAGAACCGTATGAAATTAATGCTCTTGCCTGAAATTTTAAACCTGAACCCAACCCCCTTCTTGCAGACAGGCTTGCAGGAAAATGCAGGTCAGGCTAAACTACATTTTATGAAACAATACATTTTGTCCCTGCAGGTTTTACTTTATAGGGGAATCTGTGTTCGTTTATAACAAAATTCCAGTTGGGTAAAATAGATAAAATAAAAAAGATAAAATCCCTTACTGTCTGACGCCTGGTGAGAATTGACCTATAAATGCTGTAACAAGGTAGAGCTGGTGGTGTTACATGTGAAGGTGCCCTTAGCCTAAAGACTTCACCAAAGAGAGTTGCACTCAGTCCTTTTATAAAAAAAATAACAAATATCATAGATACTGGAGAGATTGAAAAGGCTTTCATAGGATCACCCAGAGTATTGCTGCTACTCCAATTATCTGTTAGATGATTAAGGATGATTGAGTTGGATATCTTTTAAGAGGAAAAACTGACTCACTTAAAACCACTTTGTTTTAGTGTTGAATGATCTGTCTTTCATCTGTTTCTGTGCACTAAAGAAGTGTTGGAAAGTACCCATAGCTGCAATATTTTTGTTTTTGCACTGAGATGTTAAAGATAAGGCACTATAAGTGATGTTGGCTTCAAGGAGTTTCTGTGAAAACAATGATCTGAAACAGGCTCCCCTCATTTCACGTCTTCTCCTAATCAGGAGGGTAAAAAATACAATAATTACTATTAAGGAATAGAAATAGCACCTGTCTATGTTCTACACAATCACACACACAAAAAAAAAAACTACAGTGCTTAGCTTATACATATGTGGCCTACATGAAAGTCATTTCTGAAGTTTAGATAACAGTTGGTCAGTTGTGCTTTATTAGGTTTTTCCAAATCATAAACATGGCTTTACAAATTCTTCAAGAAGTAGTGCATTGTGCTCTTCTAAACTTTTGGACTATCTGTGCCAGAAATGAACCTGTTTTGGCACAGTGACAGGGCAAATCCCCAAACATCTGGTGATTTGAGCTTAATCATGTACCCAGCAGTCACGATATGAGTATAGTAAAAGAAAGTAAATAATGTGTGAATTTACAGAGCCTTTACTTTTCAGGATTTTAATTGTTTAGGCTCCATCTCCATAAAACACCTACAGGCTTTCTGGCAGCCGTCAGCTGTGTTACACACCTCTAATGTCCATGTTGCTGTGAGTAATGAAGTGATACAACATGTGCAGCTTTAGGGCTCACACTATAGAAGAAATGAAAACTAGTCCACCCATTCAAACAAATCTTCATTAAATGAAGACAGAACGTCTCGTTTTAGTTACAATTCCAAACAAGTCCAAAGTTTAATAAAGGTTAGCAAAAACTTCAGTTTACGGTAACTATTTCTAGTGTTCTGCAAAATATTCTAGCTTTAATGCTGATGTTACTATAACTAAAGATTTAAATTAGATGTTTTCATAAACCTCATGAACACATATTATTTTCTTTTTAACCAGTCTCTGAAATAAAATAAGACATTTTTTTCATGTTTTAGATCAAAATGATTTTCTATGTGATCAACACCAAACTTTGAAATGATCCCACTATAGATGTAACCGTACTCCTGTCCCTTAATGTTTTGTTCAGTTCTTTCAGGACATTCTCCCAGGGTTAATAACATTCTGGATGAAAGAGTAACTTTTGTATTTGTTATGCTTTACGATGTTAGTTGAATTATTTGGCATTCTAAGAACTGTAACTTAAGCTTAATTTCTTGGCCATGATCAGAAAAGACTCGTGCCTGAATGTTATATTATGTTGGTGCACACATTCCTGCACTTAGTTGTATGTGTGATTGCAGGTAGTTTGGTTTTATAGGCTAAATGGCTGCCTGCTGTTGTTGGATCAAAGGCCCAGCACTGTCTGGGTTTACAGTAGCATAGGAAGTGCAGTGGCCGTGAGGCAGAAACACAAGGCCTGCGTGAGTAAAACTCTTTAAATCTCAATGACTAAATGTCTTCATTCCCATCTTTCCTTTTTTATTTGCTCTTCTCCATTTTCTCTCTTTATCTGTCAGGTCCTTGCTCTTGTGACTAACTGAGGTTAACATTTAAATTCTTACAATTCTTTTTAATTGATTCCAATTGTTGGATGTTATGTTGAATGTTGCTAAAGCCAGCAGAGGGTTTGCGAGGGTTTGGATGATTGCAGTGTTACACGCAAGCATGCCAGCTCACCATGAAACCCATTCTGACTTCAGTTCAAGACAAACCACCAGTTCTAGTTTCTTACTGTTGAAATTTGTCAGCCAATTGCTTTCAATATAAATTTACAGTGACTTAGAATGAAATCCTAAAATATCCTGTGTGTGTAGTTTTGAGGGCTTTTTTTCAACAATTTTTATTTCTTTATTTTTTTGGTAGGAGTTTGGTTGTGCATTTATTTTTAAAGCTAATGACTTTTACCTAATTAATACCAACAAATCATATAAAAATTTGGAAATTCAGGTCACTTATGTAAAAACATAAAAGCTGCTCACCGTGCATTGTAGATTCCACCTCAAAGCTGGTATCCACATACTATACAGACTATACACCAGGGGTAACCAATTGAAAATCAGCAGGGTCTGAATAAAGAATATCAACAACCAGTAAAGGTCTGGAGGCATTTTTAATTATAATCCATTATTTTAAGCAGCATTTAACACTGAAATAAAATGCAAGTGTTTATGCATCCAAGTTATACATTGACTTTTTCAATAAAAAATATATAAAATAGGATGTTTTACCATTTTAAGATCTGAAGTGTTTTTTTAAGTAGAGAACAACAATCTTTCAGTTTGGTATATAGACAATTTCCTGCCTCACTTTTTTTCTAAAACACATGAACTGATTGTTTGTTATTTTCCTCTTTCTTTTTATGGCTTATTAAGAGAACTGGGCTTTACACTGCCCTGCAAGGCTTTTAACCTGGGTTTGATTGCGTCAAAGCCATTCTCAATTACATATCAAGGTGCTCATTTTGAGCCTGGATTGATATTAATCTTTGAATGTGTTCTTGGTGGGGAATCCTGCTTCACAGCAGTAGGTTAAACCAAACATACTCAAAATGTGCAGGGTCATAGTTGAGCACTCAATCTCACTTTTCTTTCACTAGCACTTTTTCCACCATTCTACTCTTTCTCTGCTCTCTTTTTCTCATCGTCTTTTCCTTTTTTCCCACTGCCCGGCTTGCCACATGTTTGCCTGCTGTGTCTAAAAGTATCCAATATCCTCTGACTGACACAGCTCATTGGCTAATTTGTATGTTGTGTAGCCTGCTGCCGGAACGCTACGAATGGCTTCTTCATACAAACAGGAGGAGCGGCGCAAATGATGTTTAGACACTGTCGTCAGAAAACAAGCAGGAGTTTATCAATGTTTTAAATCAGGTTGGGTCTGGATTAGCCACTGGATCTGGATCCGGACCCTGGTCCGCTAATCAGTGATTTCTGCCTTACACTAAGCACTGCTAAGTGATTGTCTCAGACAATGGACGATGGAAGAGAAGGAACTGAAAGAACCATCATGCGATGAAAAAAGCCTGCAAGGGATGTACCACTGCATGGCTTATAAGGCCAAATCTTGAACAGTGCACAGCTGCACTGATCATTGCAGCACACGAGTAGGCCTTAAGTACCAGAACAATATAGGCTCAGATCTACAGCACCAGGCAGCATCCAAGGTACAGGCTATGTAAAGTTACCTTTCAAGCAAGATGAATGTTAAGACTCAGAACAGAGGACCCAGTATTCAGGCAAGACAGACAGTGGGATTATTCAGTAGCAGCGGATAGGCTTAGTCAGGAAACTCTGGAGAGAAGAAAACACAGGTTAGTGACCGCGTATTCAGTCCGTGCCCAGAGAACAATGTAGGATCCAGCCAGTGGGCTGCCAACAAGGTGCGGGGAGTGCCATCCAGAGTATCCCAGAAGCTGCAGCCCCAAAGAAGCAGCAAGAGTCCTAAGACAGGTCAGACAAACAGATCAGAACAGGAACAGGCAGGCTCAGAGGTCCAGGAGTCTGAAACCAGGTCAAGGCAAGCAGATCAGAACAGGAA